AAATAAACACCCTAATGTTGCACCTCCAACATCTAAAAAAGGAAGAGAAAACCAAACATAAGCTAAATACAGGAAGAAATCATAAAAATTACAGCAGAAATTAGTTCAATTGAGATGAAGAAAATAGTTCAAAGAATTAACGAATCATAAAGCTGGTTCTATGGAAGATTAAATAAAATTGATAAGCTCCTAGCTAACCTCATCAAAAAGATGAAAGAAAAAATTTAAATACCAGCAATAAGGAATAAAAATGGTGTAATTACCACAGAACCAGTGGAAATTCAGAAGATTATCAGTAGCTACTATGAGAATCTTTACTCTCCACAACAAAAGACACAAATGAAATGGACAGATTCCTGGAAAGGTACAAATTACCAAAACTGAGTCAAACTGTAACAACTCTGAATGACCCGTTAACCAAAGAAATGCGAAATGTAATCAAAAACCTACTGACAAAGAAAAATCCAGGTCCTAATGGATTCACAGCTGAATTTTACAAGAAATTTACGGAAGATATAATCCCTGTACTCTTCAAACTCTTCAATGACATTGGAAAGCAAGCAATTTTCCCAGAATCATTCCTGGAGGCAAGTATTATAGTGATACCAAAACTATGGAAAGACGCAACTAGAAAATAGAACTACAGGCCAATCTCTCTCATGAACATAGATGTAAAAATCCTAGCAAATAAAATACAGGAAATCATCATGAAGATTACACACCATGACCAGGTAGGATTCATCCGCAGGATGCAAGGTTGGTTAAATATTCGCAAATCTACAAATGTAATACACTACATCAATAGAGCAAAACTGAAAATCACATGATCATCTCAATTGATACAGAAAAGACTTTTGACAAAATCCAACACTCATGTTCAAAGTCCTACAGAAAATTGGAATAGATGGCCTTTACTTCAGTCTGATAAAAGCCATCTATGACAATCCATCAGCTAATATAATTCTAAATGGGTAAAACTGAAATTTTCTCCTGTCAGATCTGGTACAACAAAAGGATATCCTCTATCACCACTGCTATTCAGTATAGTTCTGGAATCATTAGCTACAGCCATTAGAAAAGAGAAAGAAATAAAAATAAGAATAGGTTATGAAGCAGCTAAATTATCCTTATTTGTAAATGACATGATACTTTACTTGGAAGACCCAAAAAACTCCCCCAAAAAGCTACTAGAATTGATACAGAAATTCAGTAGTATAGCAGGATACAAAGTCAATACCCAAAAGTCAGTAGCATTCCTCTACACAGATAACAAACACACTGAGAGGGAAATTAGAGAAACAATACCTGTTACAATAGCACCATGGAAAATAAAATACCTTGGAATTACTCTAACTAAAGAAGTCAAAGATCTTTTAATGGAAAATTACAGTACTCTGAAAAAAGATCTTAGAGGATTTCAGAAAATGGAAAGTTATTCCATGCTCCTGCATAGGAAGAACCAACATTGTGAAGATGGCCATACTCCCAAAATTGCTTTACAGATTTAATTTAGTCCCTACCAAACTACCACCAACATACCTCACAGACCTAGAGAAATCATTCCTGAAATTTATTTGGAACCAGAAAAGACCTAGAATGGCAAAGGGAATCCTGGGCAACAAAGACAAGGCAGGAAGCATTACATTTCCTGACTTGAATTTATACTACGAGGCTACTGTGATAAAATCAACATGGTACTGGCAACAAAACAGAAACGAGGATCAATGGAATAGATTAGAAGACACACAAACCTCCACAAACACACTCAGCCACCTTCAACAAAGGGTCAAGCATGCTCACTGAAAGAAAGATGGCCTCTTTAACAAATGGTGCTGGAAAACCTGGCTGTTTGTATGCCAAAAACTAAAAGTTGACCCAGGTCTATCACCATGTACTAAGGTAAAATCAAAATGGATTGAAGATCTAAATATTAAAGCAGAAACACTAAATCTCTTGGAAGACAAAGTAGGAGGAACTCTTGAAGACATAGGGGTAGGCAAAGAGTTCATGAACAAAAATCAAATTGCATGGGTAATACTTGAAAAATTAACAACTGGGACTGCCTCTTATTGTGAACTTTTGCACATCAAAAAATTCCCAACAAAGTGAAATACAACCCACATATTTAGAAAAAATCTTGAAAAATAAGCATTCAGACAAAGGTCTGCTCTCTAGAGTTTATAAAGAACTAAAAAACATTAGGACCCCAAAATAAAGACCCAATCCAGAAATGGGAATCCAATGAACACACACTTCTCAGAGGATGAAATTAAAGAAATGAATAAATATGTGAAAAATTTCTCTACATCAGTAGCCATCAGTAAAATGCAAATTAAACAATACTGATACCATCTCTTCCCAGAAAGAATGGCTATCATAACAAAATCAACCAACAACATATGTTGGAGAGGCCATGGGAAAAAGGAACCCTTCTCCACTGCTGGTGGGAATGTAGACTGATGCAACCATTATGGAAATCAGTGTGCAATTTCCTTAAAAAACTAGGACTGGAAATCCCATCCAAACCAGCTATCTCCCTTACTGGGAATTTTCCAGGAGGAATTGAAAACATCATATCATAGTGATGTATGTGTACCTATGTTTATAGCAGCATAATTTGTGATAGCTAAATCTTGGAAACAACCAAGATGCCTGTCACCTGAGAAATGAGTGAAAAACGTGGTATTTTTATACAATGGAGTATTACTCAGCTATAAAGAATGATAAACTCAAAGCCTTCATATTTAAGTAGATGCCACTTGAAGATATAAGTGAAATAAAGCAGAACCACATGTATAAATATCATAGTCTCCCTAGTATAAGAACTCAAAAGAAGAAATAAAAATAGAAAGGTATAACACAATTAAAAGGATAGCAAGAACAAGAGGATTAGACCATGAAGAGAGGGCAAGGAATAAAGCTAAGAAACATGACAGGAGCAAAACCATACATTGATATGTACAAGATGGGTAAGGCAATGATCCTGAGACTCTTCAGCAGGTTTTCAAAATTATCAGTTAATTGGTAGGATTCTCACCCTGACTAACTCTATATGGTGATACTTGTGAACTAAGCAACTGCACTGAAGGTAGCAATGTGTAATGGTAGGATCATGCTTGGAATCCCTGTCATTCTGGTCTTCTAATTATGTACATTTTGTCATGACATACCAATTACTGCCATACTGTCTCTCAAGTAAATGTTTTTTTTTAAAGGGTAATAAATGAAAACAAGAGAGAAGGAAAATAATGTCACAGGACTGTCCTGCTACAATGCTGTATATGGTTAGATTTCTAAACTTCTGTGTAAAAACATGTAATCATTTATTCCTATTTTTTAAAATATTCTTTGATGTTTTTAATTATTTTCTTCATATTCTGTAGGGACTTAAAGGTTAACATATTATTACTTGATGGAAAATACCTGTTCCATGTTATGCCTAAGATGTTTGATATTCAGACAGATAGTGAGATTAAGCTCAACTGCCTATGTTGTCGGGTAATAACAATAAGCTTCTCTTCTGGAAGGTTAACAACCTAAGTTTGCAGACCAAAAATTAGGGAGAAAGAAGGGCTGCAAGGACAGTCAACATTTTGACCCTAGCTTTTCAAGGTCAGTGAAGACTCAGGATGTAGGAGAACTTGTACTGTAACATCATGTAACTCAATTGTGTCCCCAATTTTCTGATCAAGGAGATTATGGGGCCACAGAGGAAAGTGATCAATGATGTAGAGTGTGACTAAGGAGAGTTACATGGAGAGAAAACATTCTCTCAGGCTTTCACAGACAGCAAATTGGTCAAGCAACGGTTGTGACTCATCCACATGGCTGACACTGACAAAGGATCTACAAACTGAGGTACAGGGTTTCAGGAAAAATTCTGAGGGGATTTGACTGATCTTATCAGAATCAAAAGCTACATTTCTTGTTATATAGGTCTTGCTTTATCTTGGTCTTAACCATCCAGCAGAAAAGTATAAAAACATGGTATATAAAGTAAAGCCATATTAATATGCTGAGCTGTTAAAGACTCAAGTCAACAGTTTCTGGCATTGGGACTACTGGACTATATTGGAATATTTTGCTGAATTCATGTACCTATAATATTTAAATAACAATGGAATACCCTTCTCTGACAAAACTAAACAAAAAAAGGGATAGAAATGAAAAACCATTTTGTATCTGTATATTCAAAATAGTTATCATAGATATACAGCTACATTCTCTTAATTCAGTGAGTAGAAAGATTTGTTCTAATAGTATTTGTGGACATGATATCATGTCTGCATCTTGTACAATGAAAAACCAGTAAGACAACAATATGCAATGTACTAAGTATTGAAACTGTCATACTAATCGGTTTTGAAACTGTTTCATTCTATTTGTTTCTCAATAAAATTATAATAAATAAATAAATGAGGCATAAATACTCAGAATGCTTTTTTATTTTAGTGTCAGGTTTGCCTTTTTTTGGTCTAATATCTTGAACACTTCAGTGATCAGTTTTTTATAAAAATGAAATTTATTCTTTCTGTGTTATTTTGGGCTGCAAATAATTTCTTAGGATAAAACTATTCTGTTTTAAATTTTTTCATTCTCAGGAGATTTTACGATGATGGAGCAATTGTCTTGGGTGAGGAAGCAAATATGCTAGCTGGCATGCTGCTTGGGCTCAATGCTATTGATTTCAGGTATATATTAACTAAATAAGTTTTTACATAATTCTACATCTTACTAGTTTCTGCTCATAATTTTTCTCTTTCAGTGTTCAAAGAGTTGGATGTCAATATTTGACTCATGTTGTTCCTTCCAAATCAATTTGTTTTCTAAATGAGTTTTCTCATAGAAAGCGATGGCCTCAAACTTAAGGAACTAACAAACTTGCTCTTTAGCTTGTGTAAAGTGAAAGCTTAAACTACATCTGTCTCATATTGACTCCAGTTTTGTTTCATTTTGGGTTTTTTTTGGAACTGGGGATTGAACTCAGGCGCTTGCACTTGGCCAGGGAAGCACTTATTCCACTGAGCCAATCCCCCTGGCCCCCATATTGACTCCAGACACTACATTGCCAGCAGAGAAGGAAGGTTTTGAGTCTTTCAGCTACAGCTTTAAGTTGAAAAGAAATGAACTAAAAGTAGATTTGGAGAAAAAAATTTCTCACTTTCATTTGTGTTAGGATAAGGAACATTCTGGCAGGCTACGTTAAGTATTATACTGTATTATTTGTCTAAAATATATATTTTTAAAAAATAAGGCCAGAGGGATATCTCAGCAGTATAAGGACCTGCCTGGCAAACACAAAGTACTGAGGTCAATCACTGGTACAAAATAAATAAAATAAAATATTTGTTTTTCTTATCAACAAAATCAGTTGGCTTCAGACTAAGATAACAAGTACTAAAAATAACCATTGTAAGTTCTTTCTATATTTATAGAAGATATTTTGCATTTCTTTAGTTGATACTACACTTTATGTTATGTTATAGGTAAAAAGTTTAAACCAGGTTTGGTGCTACATGCGTGTAATCCCACCACTGTGGGAAGCTGAAGCAGGAGGATCATAATTTTGAGCCTATTCTGGGCAATTTAGAGACTGAGCAAGACCCTGTCTCAAAATAAAAAATAAGGCCTCGCAGTATAGCTCAGTGGTTAAGCGCTTGCTTAGGTATGAGCAGGGGCCAGGGTTCAATTCCTGGCTCTGCATGTCACGCCAGTCCCACCCCCAGGTCTGCTGAGCAGGCAATGAGTCCAGGCGTAGTGGCACGCACCTGTAATCCCAGAACTAGGGAGGCAGAAATCAGGAGGATCACTACGAGTCTGGGCTGTGTAATAAGACCCTACACACACACACCAAAAAAAAAAAAAAAGATAAAAATACCTGAAAAATAAATAAATAAAAAATAAAAAGGTTTGGTGAGGTATCTTAGTGAAAAGGTACTACAAAAATCAGGTAAAAATTAAAAGTTTGTCTGTAAGAAAAATGAAAGAACAAGTGAAAGATTATATTTTTATTGAAATAGAGAATTTGTAAGGTCAAAAATACAAAATTAACAAAATAAGACTTAAATGACTAGATCTTGAATTTAAAATCTTCATTTTCACTAAAGTTGTCTTATCTTGTAAAGCAGCTTTCAAAATGTTATTTTATAACTTTCGTTCTAATTTAATAAACTATTACTAAGTTAATTCATTTGATTTTCAGGATGAACTTGATAGGTAGAAAGATTTTTTGATTTCTCTAAGGTTGCTTTTTACGTGACATGTCCTTGGCTTTGTCTTTCAAACTTGTTTTTATTTGTTGGTTTTGGTTAACAAAACAAAACACGTGGGATAAATATGTTAACTATTGGTTTATTGTAAACCATTGACACTGTGTAAGCATGTGAAACCAGATATCTTTAAGATATATTAATAATGTTTTTGTAAATTGAAGAAAGCCCATATAAAATGATATCACTTTAATTGCATCCTTATTCATATCTGGGAATGTATCGATTTTCATACAGTGGAGCAAGTATTTCATCAAGCAGACACCTGAAACAGGTAGAAGGTGGTAGTTTCTACTTTTTTTTTCCCCCTCAAAAGACCAATCTACACCTTACTTGTATACCTATAAGATGTCCTTTTTTAAAATAAGGACAACTTGTTAGAAGATGTTCTTTATTCTTTTAACAATACATATCATCAAACTGTATTCCATCATTTAAAATTAACTGAGAACTGTATTTCCTTTATTGGCTCTACAAGGCTAACTACATGACTTTGAGAAAGTCACTTGATTTTTGCCTTGTTCCCATAATTTGAAGCGCTGACTAGAGATGAGAGATTTTCAGCATCTTTTTCAGGCCTAAGATCTAAGTTTTTGCAACTCTTATTTTCTAATTCATAATATCTTTTAAGGGATGCACAGTACCACCTGAGAACTTGCTTTTAAATATAAAAAACAAATAATTATTTGAAAGTTCTCTAATAACATCCTGAAAGTCTGGGAGATCCTAAAAAACTATCAGATAAGGTTTGAACAGATTTCTCAACATATTTTACTTTTATTTTTTGGTAGAACCAGGGATTGAATTCAGGCCGTTGCACTTGCCATGGAAGCGCTTCTTCCACTGAGCCATCTCCCTTTTCTTTCTTTCTTTTTTTTTTTTTTTTTTTTTTTTTTTTGTGGCAGAACCAGTGATTGAACTCAGGCCCTTGCACTTGCCAGGGAAGTGCTTATTCCACGGAGCCATCTCCCCGGCCTCCACATTCTACTTTTGCTTCTGATAAAATATTATTTTACAATGTATTTGTATAATTCTTTGTCATTGGTATTGAAGATAATATATTTTTAAGGATTTTAGGGGAACAAGTAACAAATTGCAAACAAAAGAAATTTCACCTGAGATGTTATGAACAATGGTCAGCAAAAACTTGTTGATAAGAGTTAGAGTTGATATAATGTTTCTGTATTAATATGGAATGTTTATTGTCTACTTTCGTAGCTTCTGCCTAAAGGGAGAAGGTTTGGATGGCAGCTTCCCTGCTGTAATAGACTATACTCCATATTTGAAGTTTACACAAAGGTATTTGATACTTTTTACTTTTTTTTTTTTTTTTCTTGTGGCTGGCTCAGCCCATGCTGGGTTGGGGCTGGTGCAACATGTGGTGCCGGGGCTGAACTATGTTCTCTGTGCTTGCCTAAGCTTGCCTAAGCATGTGCTTTAGACCACTGAGCTATCTCACCAGCCCCTGGTATTTGATACTTTAAAACATGTTGTAAAAACAACTCATAATTTAATATCTGTTGTTGTACAGTGCTCATCTAGGTTAAGTGACGTTTCATAAAGTGTTGTTGTACAGAGATCATCTAGGTTAAGCGACATTTCATAAAGTATTTGTTTTAGTTTTAGAAATGATTGTAGAGTATAAATTTCAATTGCATTTTAGTTTTTATATGACTATACACATATTGTATAATTACAATCTCAATGTATGATTTTTATATACAAAAGCATTTATATTGCTACAGTTATTATAAAACAGTAACTATAATTGCTCTGAAATAATCCACTGGATGCAAAACTATAATTGACCTCTTAATTATTTTCCACTTTATCTCCATTTTAAATAATAATGAACATCATACACATCGATTTTCCTTTTCTTTCTAGTACTGTTTTTCAGTTGTTTTAGATAATAATTTGATGACTCAAAAATATATGTTTTAATTTTGGTCTGCAAACTTAGGTTGTTAACCATCCAGAAGAAAACCTTATTGTTATTATCAAACGATTTGGGCTATCAATCTTAGCCTCACTATCTCACTGCATTTCAAACATCTTAGGCATAATAAGGAACAG